GTTATTTTACAGCTCTATACATCAATAGTGAGGCCTCATTTAGATAATGCTGCTCAGTTTTGGTCTTCTGACTACAGGATGGATACAGACCCATTGGAGAACACACAGAGAAGAATGACTAAAAATGATTTACTGTGTAAGGAATCTCCCGTATGAAGATAGACTTAAAGCCTTAAATCTCTACTCTCTGGAGAGACGTAGAATGAGGGGAGATATCATTCAAGTGTACAGTAGGGCCTCACTTATACGACAGGTTAGGTTCCAGGCTACCACCATAAAGTGGAAATCGCCGTAAAGTGGAACACCCTTTTTTTCCTCTTACAAATGCATACAAATACTAGATAACAAGTTTACACTAACATATATTAAGTTAGCAATAGAACTAGGTATCAAAAAACAATAAAAAAGTACAATACACACACAGTGCACTCATTACTTACCTTAAAATATTTATAGTCTTAATCTAGGGTGAGACAAGTAGTATTTATTGTAAGAAATCAAGTGTGGTATGTATGGTAGTCACCCGGGCTACCATACCAGGCCACCCCACCTACACATAATATTCTATGACATTTAAGCATCCCAGAGCGATAAAATGCATATACAGTTTACTCATTACTTACCTTAAAATATTTGTAGTCTTAATGTTGGGTCAGGAGTGAGTAAACGAGATAAAATGAATAAATGAGAGAGAGAGAGAGAATGAGTACATGAGAGAAGACAGGTGCAGAGTTATGTAAACAAACCAAGCAAATGCAAGTTTTCTAAACAAAGTGTACATGTCTTGTTTGTGTACAAGTTACATTGTGCACAAGTTGTCTCTACATTGATATGGTAGAATAAATAAAGAACACTCCCATTCTCATGTAACACCATTTTTAGAGGAAATGATGCTCTGAGTGAAGGCAATGGAAATAAGTCACTTTGACTTTTTTGGGTTATCCTAGGTTCTCTACACATATGCTGTTATGTATGATAATCTATGTAACTGTGTTTGTGTATACCTGAATAAACTTACATACGAAAGGAATAATTTTCTACAGTTACCCCCAGTAACACATTTTCTCTATGTTAGATTAGAGAAAATGTTATTCTTGCCGTCACTTGTACAAGCTATCTGGCTACGACATCTCATATTTATGTTTATTTATTCTATTTATTCTATTTGTGTTATGTATCGTGTTTATTATATAATTTTGAAAAAATATCATGGATGGATTAATGAAAATGTGTATATTAACGTAATACATGACATTTAACCCTTTCAGGGTCCCCAGGCCCTCTCCGAGACTTATTTTCAGGGTCCCCAACATAAAAAAAAATTATTTTTTCTTATGAAAAGATAGAGAATATTTTTTTCGATCATAATGACACCAAAAGTATGAAATTTGATGAAAAACTTACGGAATTATGCTCTCGCGAAGTTAGCGGTCTCTACGATGTTTACGCATTGGCGATTTTGCCCTCTTTGAGCCCTATTTTCGGCCAATTCCAGTGTACTAGTCGACAAAAATCATAACTTTCACGAACTCCATTTTTTCTATTGAATGAGTACAAGAAACCACTCATTTACTGATTTCAACTATCCAATAAAGTGGTCAGAATTTAGCAATTTTGCCAATTTCACACAAATTTCAAAAGATGCCAATTTACGAATAGGGTCCAGAATAAACAAGAAAGACATTCCTGGCACTAAAATAACAAGTTCTCTGTTCGTTAGTCACATCCCCAGGCCCCTCTTATATTTCTTTGGCTTTCTACTTTGAATTTTTATTCTTACAAAAAATAGAAGATTTACTGTTATGCAGTCTACTGCGTTAGTGTAGAAATGGTATAAATAATATCAGTGCACTTGTGAAAGAATGTTAGACTCACCAGTTGACCTGTATTGGACACTTGGCATGATTTGTTTACTTTTGAACTTTGGTAAAAATCGAACATTTCTGCTACTTTAAGCTCAATTTCAAGATACTTTTCATTGTAAAACCAGTCAAAATCATCTCAATTTTTGTAATATGCCTTCAATTCTATAAAATGAACCAGGAAAACTAGAATACAACAATAAATACCATACAAAAATACAGTGCAAAGTCGCTGTTTTAATCCAAAAACATGGTCAAAGTTTTTTTTTTTTTCTCATTACGCACTGTGTGCTGCAGGATTTTTTTTATACTGTGCACACTGACCACATAGACCCATTCTTTCATATGTAGGCCTACCAGCTTTCTCTCGCTAGATGTGAGGGCACTAGAATTTAGGCATACTAGTACGTCAAAAACCCTGGTGCATAAGCCGTACTAGTACGGCCGAAACCCTGAAAATGTTAATGAGACTCAGTGATTATTATTATTATCATTTCTAATATGGCATCACTTGTGCAGGTTGTCTGCTACCACATCTCATATTTATGTTTGTTTATTCTACTGTGGGGTGTATTTATCATATTTATGTATATGTTATGCATCGTGTTTATTACATAAGTTTGAAAAAATATCATAGATGGATTAATGAAAATGTGTATATTAACGTAATATATGACATTTAAATGAGACTCGGTGATTATCATCATCATTACTAATATGACGTCTCGAGACATAAGACTGATTTTTACGTGTACCTGCATGATAGCACAGTATGTAAGTTTATTTAGGTACAGGTATACATAAGTATAATTATCAGAGTATATATAAAATATGAAATAACTTTTAAAAACACTTGAAATTTTGGAGTTTCCAGACATAATGGAAAGACTTAGTGCTTAGGGATCTAATGGAGAATGTAAACAAACCGGGTTGGGCACGGTGGCCATATTAGAAAGTCAGGTGGGGGGAGCTGTATAGCGAGTTTTGGCCATAATTTGAAATGACCGTATTAGCAAAACACCGTAAAGTATAAGTGGATGACAGGCATAAACAAAGATATTAATAAGGTACTGAGGGTGTCAAACCAGGTAAGAACCAGGAATAATGGATTTAAGTTGGATAAATTTAGATTTAGAAAGAACATAGGTAAGTACTGGTTTCTAACAGAGTTGTGGATGTGTGGAACAATCTTCCCAGTAAGGTGATCGAGGCTAGGACTTTGGGCAGCTTTAAAAAGAGATTGAACAAATATACGAGTGGGAGGGGCTGGGTTTGATTTGTGTGATTGGGTATGGGAGTAAATTCTTGGGTGGCTTTGGGTAGAGGTCATTTTGATAAGGACCTGCCTTGTATGGGCCAATAGGCCTTCTGCAGTGTTCCTCCATTCTTATGCTCTTATGTAGATAAATGCAAGGTTCTGAAGCTCGGGAGTGTCCATAACCCTAGCACTTATAAGTTAAATAATGTAGAACTTAGCCATACAGATTGCAAAAAGGACTTAGGGGCTATGATAGGCGGTAACCTTAAACCAAGACAGAAATGCCTAAACATACATAATAAGGCAAGCAGATTACTGGGATATATATCAAGAAGTTGGTTTAGAAAGACACGTAAGCAAACACTATGACATATTTATTAGAAAACGTTTCGGTCCTGGGACCTTGATCACTTCTAACATGTTAAAGTGATCAAGGTCCCAGGATCGAAACGTTTTCTAATAAATATGTCATTGTGTTTGCTTACGTGTCTTTCTAAACCAACTTGTCGGTATTTATTACCAAGGTTTATACCATATCAAGAAGTGTAAGCAACAGAAGTTCAGTGGTTATATTACAGCTTGATACATCATTAGTAAGGCCTCACCTAGATTATCAGCTTAGTTCTGGTTTCTGTATTACAGAATGGACATAAATTCATTAGAAAAGATTCAGAATAGAATGACTAAATTAATGCATAGTATTAGAAATCTTCCTTATGAAGAAAGATTAAAGACCTTTAAATTACATTCACTTGTTAGACGAAGAATGAGGGGGGGACATGATCGAAGTGTATAAGTGGAAGGTGGGTATCAATAAAGGGGATATAAATAAGATCTTGAGGATATCCCTCCAAGAGAGAACCCGCAGTAATGGATTCAGGTTAGACAAGTTTAGAATTAGAAAGGATACAGGAAAGTATTGGTTTGGAAGTAGGGTAGTTGAGGAGTGGAACAGTTTGCCTGGTAGGGTTTTCGAGGCTAAAACCTTGGGTAGTTTCAAATTTAGGTTGGATAAATACATGAGTGAGAGGGGTTGGATTTGAGTGGGACTTGCATATTGGTAAATAGAATTATCAAAGCTTATTTCTTGGGTAACATTGAGAATTGGGTTGGGAAAATATTTTGTTAGTTGGCTGGTTTGTGAAGGACCTGCCTAGTATGGACCAACAGGCCTGCTGCAGTGTTCCTCCTTTCTTATGTTCTATACAAGTGAATGTAATTTAAGGGTCTTCAATCTTTCTTCATAAGGAAGATTTCTAATGCTATGTATTAATTTAGTCATTCTACACTGAATGTTTTCTAATGAATTTATGTCCATTCTGTAATATGGATACAGAACTGAGCTGCGTAATCTAGGTGAGGCCTTACTAATGATGTATAAAGCTGTAATATAACCTCTGAACTTCTGTTGCTTACACTTCTTGATATATATCCCAGTAATCTTTTTGCCTTATTACATACACTTAGGCATTGCTGTCCTGGTATAAGGTTACTGCTTATCATAACCCCCAAGTCCTTTTCGTAATCTGTATGGGTAAGCTCTACATTATTTTATTTATAAGTAACAATGATGCACCTGTTGTGCATTCTTTGAGTGATGGGGAAATTAGATGTATTGTGATATATAAATAGGCCATAGGGTTGATATTAGCATCATATTGAAGTATTTTTGTCGTGCCTCCTAAGAACAGGAATTCTGCTGGAACGGATTAATGCCATTTCAATTAATTTGAATGAGGAAGATTGATTCAGCATACAAACATATCAGGATGCGAACGAGGTCATGGAATGGATTAAATTCATAAGCCGAGGTTCCATGGTATTATAGTTCAGAGCGGTGCTCTTAACTGAAAATATTATCCCATTAATTTTTTCCAAAGGTTATTGGCTTTGATGGCTCCACAACTATTGATGAATTCCTTTCATCACTAAATCAAGAAATTGGTTGTCGCGACGTTCACCAGTCAGGGTTTGCTCTCTTCTCTGATGATCCAATTGAAAAGGATTTGGAGCACTGTTTGAATCGTAATGCTAAGGTTTGTACATTGTTATTTTGTCTAAGTCTGAACATAAAATATAAAGTGGAATGCTAAAAGTTCATCTTATCAGTGCTGGAGGTGTTCTAAAGTTAGGGTTCATCAGGGCTGGAGGTGTTTTAAAGTTAGGGTTCATCAGACATAACTCAGTGTGAAAAATTAAGGAATGCTTTCAAGGGAAAATTTACAAAACAAAAATTAAAGCACAAATCAAACAATGTATTTTATGGCATCAAAGAGGCTATTTTTTTCCCCCAAATAAGTTGAAAAGTTACCAGCATCTTGCAGGCCGAAGGTTACATTGCACATTGGCCTAAGCCTAGAGAAGTGTTTCCATACTAGACAGTAATCGAAGCTCCTGTATATGATATGACCTAGTAATGAAGTGTGTAAATTTTTTTTCTATAAAATGATGAATAACTAACAAAAATAATCATAAAAATTCATTGGCAATTGATGCTATTTGTGTAAAAACATATAAAAAGAGAGTTGTTCTTCAATTCTTCTGCAGTTACCCCAGTAATAAACACAGTTTCTCTGGTGGTAGTGGGCCACAGTGTAAAATTATAATACATACTTGCCGTACACACCTTTATGTACACGGCTACCACACCTCACAATTATCTCAATTTTTTCTCATGTGACTGTCTGTATTATGTTTTATGTGATGTGCAGTATGTTTCTTATATAATTAAGAAAAACATATGATAGCCAGAATAATTAAAATGTTAAAAATATATTAGATATATGACATTTTATAGCTCCCTAAGCGACATAGTATTTACATCATGGTATCTCCAGCACTACTGAGACATACTTTTAGCTTCTCTCTTGACTAGAATAGCTTCTTCCACTTTGTAATGATGCCAAATGGTGATTAATAGTAAAAAAAAATTTGCCAAAAACTCATTACATATTAACTGTGGCATCATCACTACAAATGTAGTGACTATAATTTGCTGTAGAAACATGGTATGATCAGACTTGTACCAAATTGTTGCCAGATTCTTGAACTATTTTTCTGTAAGCCTAACTTTTTTTTTTTATCACCTGCTGTGCCCAGCTCAAGTGCGGGCAAGCAAGCTAGTTAGTTTATTTAGGCACAGGTACACATAAGTACACTTATCATACATAGTGTAAACTACCTTCGATAATAATAATAATCTTTATTTCTACAGGCACATGTACAATGTATTACAGGCCTAGCTGACATCAGTGACATACTACTATATAGAAAGCCCCTTGTTATGCAGAGCATTTCAGGCAAATTAGGTCAGTTTTATCCCCAGGATGCGACCCGCACCAGTCGACTAACACCCAGGTACCTGTTGTACTGATAGGTGAACAGGGACAGCAGGTGTCTTAAGGAAACACATCCTAATGTTTCCACCCATACCAGGGATCAAACCACAAACCTCAGTGTGTAAGCTGGGTGCACTATCACTCTCCTTTACACCATTGAGTATATAAATAAGAGTTCAAGGCATTCCCAGTAATTTAAATGCTTTATTGGCTCTGTGTAGGCTGTAAATAATCTCTGTATCTGTTCTAGCTTTGATATTTCTCCTCCCATGAACTGGGCTGTCAGCACTAAATAATATTCCAAATGAGAAAGCACAATCATTTTGAAGTGTCACCATTGGCTCTGTTTCCCTTGTTTTGAAAGTTATCATTCTCCCCTCTGTCATCTTCCTGGCTGTCACGACATTGGTTTTAGTATATTTTTTGAAAGAAAAGTCAGCTGACATACTTATTCTCAAGTTTTTCACCTGTTCCTTTTGTTCTGTTTGATGATCCTCTTAAGTTTCGTATACAGTGTCCCTTTTGAGTTCTTCACTTTTTCCATACCTAAGCAGCTGGAGCTTACCACCATTGAACATCATGTTGTTCTCCACTTCCCACTGGAAATCCTTCTCATATCTTCCTGCAGTTTCTCAGTGTCTTTTACTAAGGTAACTTTCATGCTTATTTTAGTGTCACCTGCAAATGATGATGCAAAACTGTGACAGGTGTTTTTATCTACTTCTGCTATGAGGATAAGAAGCAGCAGAGGTGCCAGCCAGGACAGTACCCTTGGGTTCTGAGCTTTTTACCTCAGTGATTCTGGATTTTGCTCTGTTTACTACTGCTCTTAGTGTTCTGTGTTAGAAACTTGAAAATCTATTGTTTGCCTTCCCTGTTATGCCTTTGGCCTTCATTTTGTGTGCAATCACCCCATTTTGGTTTTCTTCTAATACCTTCATAATTCTGTCATAATGGTTTAGCAGCTGTGACAAGCATTATCTTCCAGTTTTAAAACTGTGCTGGTTCGGATTGTGCTGTTCCATAAGGTTGTAATCTGGCATCTCATCACACTTTTGAAAACCTTTATGATGTGGGATGTTATAGCTACTGCATATAAAATCCCACATCTATGCATACGGGAGGTAGTAGTGCTCTACTATCTCCCATATGCAAAGGAGGTATGTTTGCACTCTTAAAGGTCTCTGGTATTTCACCTAGAGTTAAGCTCTCCCTCCCAAGAATACTGAGGCTTATGCTATACTGAGGGCTCATGACTCCAAAATCCAACTCTCCACACCCATACATTTGTCTGACATATGTATAAAGTTTAAGACAAGTTACTCTTTTGACAAAGAATACAGTTTGTATTTTTGTGAAAAATATTTTCACCTTTATGATACCTCATTTTGTAACATATAAAATGTTGTATATATGTTTGTAGAATTACTGACAATATGTAAAGTAAAAGGACACAAGTGCAGCTAATGTGACATTTTATTGTGGCAACGTTTTGCTCTCCAGGAGCTTTGTCAAGTTGTTTCAATGTTGCGCAACAAAGGTGTACAATGCCGACAAGATGAAAGTTAAGACACATGTGCAGCATCTGGTTATCTTTAGTGTAGACGTTTCACCATCCAGTGGCTTTATCAATACAGATTCTAGGATATAACTAGAAGACAGTAGAACTATATACAAAAGATGAGGTAATCAGTCCCTCAGCCTTGGAGTGGAGAGCATCGTGGTTGAAGATATTCTGGAGCAAAGGCAAGGAGACTGGCACTTACATAGGCGTCAGTGGATAGGGATGTGTAGCAGACGAGGGCATAGTCACTGGTAGGCGGGATTCCCCAGTGAAAGTAGGTCTTACCCAAATGGATGGGTTAGTTGTAGTAGCTCTGAAGAAGGTCATGTAGATGTCCTCTGAACCAAGATTCCATGATGTTGCAGTGTCTGATCATAGAATCTTGGTTCAGAGGACATCTACATGACCACCTTCATAGCTACTACAACTAACCCATCCATTTGGGTAGAACCTACTTCCACTGGGGAATCCCGCCTACCAGTGACTATGCCCTCGTCTGCTACGCGTCCCTATCCACTGACGCCTATACAAGCGCCAGTCTCCTTGCCTTTGCTCCAGAATATCTTCGACCACGGTGCTCTCCACTCCAAGACTGAGGGACTGATTACCTCATCTTTTGTATATAGTTCTACTGTCTTCTAGTTATATCCTAGAATTTGTATTGATAAAGCCACTGGATGGCAAAACGTCTACAATAAAGATAACTAGATGTTGCACATGTTACAATGTTCATTGAAATGTCTTGTTCATTAATGTTCATTGAAACAGGCTTTGTCAAGCCTGTTTCAGTGTTCATTAATGAACATTGAAACAGGCCTTCTCTAATCCAGCCTCCAATAGAAATATTTGTCTAACCTATTTAACCCCTTCAGGGTCCAAGGCCCAAATCTGAAGTGGTGCCCCAGTGTCCAAGAATTTAAAAAAAAAAAAAAAGTTATTTTTTCTTATGAAATGGTAGAGAATCTTTTTGTGAAGGTAATAAAACAAAAAGTACGAAATTTGATGGAAAATTGACGAAATTATGCTCTCGCGAATTTTGATGTGTCAGCGATATTTACGAATCGGCGATTTTGCCGACTTTGACTCCCATTTTAGGCCAATTATATTATTCCAGTCAACCAAATTCATAGCTATTTCACTAGTATTACTTCTATTCTATCGATTGAGCACAAGAAATTGCCAAGTCAACTGTTTCAACTACAAATTAAAATGATCGGAAATTGTTAATTTAGCCAATTTAACACAAAGTTCAAAATATTCCAATTTCAAAATAGGGTCCAGAAAAAACAATGTAGGTATTCCTGGGACTAAATTAACATTTCCTCTGTTCATTAGTTACGTTTTGAGGCTTTACAAATAAATTCCATTTTGATTTTTTATTCACATAATGAATTTTTATTCACACCAAAAAATAGAAGATTTACTGTTATGCAATACTGTAATAATTGTATAAATATCATCACCATATTTGTGAATGCATATTAGACCCACCAGCTGGCGTGTATTAGACGTGTGAGGTCGTTTGTTTACTCTTGAATATCAGCAAAAATTTAACATTTCTGCTACTTTGAGCTCAGTTTCAAGCCATTTCCAGTGCTAAAATCATCTCTATTTCCTTAATATGTCTTCCATTCTATCAAATGAGACCAATAAATCGCAAATAGAACTATAAAAAACATACAAAAAAACACTGCAAAGTTGCTGTTTTAATCGAAAAATCATGATTTCAGTTTTTTCTCTCATTATACATAGCGTGCTGCAGGATCTGTTTTATGTGGTGCACACATACCACATAGATGTATTCACTCATATCTAGGCCCAAATGTACCACTCACAGTTTATCTGAGTGAGCTGAGCTCATGACGTAGATCTACGGTTTGGACCCTGAACGTAAAGCCGTAGATCTACGAGACGGACCCTCAAAGGGTTAATAGCTTTTATATCCTTTTACTCATGTGCAAGTTAATTGCTCTACCATATTGTATTACTACTACTACAACTTACATCACTACTACTACCACTAGTATTGCACCTCATTGAGCCTATATGTACCCTCTGTGTCCATGTACTGTTTGTAGCGGCTTGACAAAGCTGCTGGAGAGCGAAACATTGCCACAATAAAATGTCACGTTAGTTGCACTTGTGTCCTTTTACTTTACATATAAAATGTTCTTCTCTGTGTAAGCACATGAAAGCACTCAGGTTTTCCTGTATTTTTTCCACTGGTAATTTTTATATTTGTAGTCATGTATTTTATTGTGATTTCTTCCAGAAGCACTATTGAGAGGGCTGGGGAGAGATTGTGGTGGTTTGGACATTTAGAGAGTGTTGAGAAAAATAGGATAACTGGGGCATATAAATCTGGGGTGAAGGGAAAGAGGGACAGGGGTTCTCCTTGGTGAGGTTGGAGGCAGGGGGTAAAGAAAGTTTTGAGTGCTAGGGGCTTGGACATCCAACAGACTTGTGTGAGCATATTAGATAGGATTGAGTGGGGGGCAAGTGATTATTATGACTTGATGTGCTGTTGGAGTGTAACCAAAGTAACATAAAGGGATTCAGGAAAACCGGTTAGCCGGACTCGAGCCTTGGAGGTGGAAAGTACTGTGCCTTTACTCTGATGGACGTGGGGATCTTGTGGTTTGGAGGGTCATCTTTGCTGTGATGTCCGTGCTCTTCTGACAAGATGGTGATTGAATGAGTGACAGTGAAAGCTTTCTTATTTCTTGTGTCACCCTACCTTGATGAGAAATGGTTGGAGTGCTAAAAAAAAATGTATATAAATACTAAGGAGCCATTATTGTGTTTTAATACATTTTATTATTTCAGCTTTGTGATGTTATATCCAAATGGGAGACAGCACTAAGAGAAAAGGGTTCTGGAAAATTTGAAAATACCAAAGTTATAAGATTACTTTACAAGTAAGTTAACTTTCTTGTTCATTGTTAATGAAGTTTTTTGATATTACATATCATAGCATGTAAGTACAGTACAGTGCCGCAGTTTTTCTTATTAGTATAACCTAAAGTGCAGTCTCAGTCAGTGAGAATATTATTACTGATGGTCAGTTTATAAATTCAACTGTCATAACATAAAATACTTTCATTCTCAGCTACTCTTCCCTGTCATGTATGAGCACTTTTTTTTTCCTCTGTATAACATGGCTACTCCTTTACCCCTTTTCAGGTCACTGTAGGTCTGAAAAGCCACATCTGTATATTTTACATTCATCATGTACACTCTTTTCAGCTCTTTCACTGTCAAGACCCCTGCTCACAGACTGCACACACTGACAACTCAGACCCATTCTCTCATATGTAGGCCTACCAGCTTTCTCCTGTAAGATTTGAAGCTGCTAGAATTTTGGCGTAATATTACGGGACTGACAGTGAAAGGGTTAAACTAGCGTATAATGTCTTAAATGTCTTCAGTTTGTTCACTCTTGTAATTTATGTACCTTTCAAAAGGAAAAGGGAAAGGTCTTGATTCTGGTGAAGGGCTCTTGATTCAGAAAATTAGAACTACGTACCCTCTATTTACTTAGATTAAATTTGATTACCTCCCATTTCCCAGGTGCTGTATGACCCACTATGAATTTACTGCTTCCCCATGAGTATAATAATTAAAATACAGTAATGTTTTTTTTTTTTTTTTTGTAAACACTTTTGATGGTTCATTAAATTTTTAAGCTTAGCTTTTTAAAGGGAGAGTTAGATAGTAAGGATGCTTTTTGCAGCTTTACCCATTTTTGTGTACAATAATGAAAATTGGATCAACATAGCTGCATCTTTTTCAGAAATGTGTGTGGTTTCAGTGTAACAAACCATCACCTTAACCCTTTCACCAGGGCCTGCCTTAAGCCGATTGGACCAGTTGCTCCCAATTGGGCCCCACGCTAGAGTATAATCTATTCTCAGCTTGTAAAGTACATAATTATATTTATATAATATGGATATAATATGTTGGCAAATTTTCCCAAAAGTTAATTCTGTCATCAGAGATTCAAAACCCCATGAAAATGCTTGAATTCCTTGCTTGCAACAACAGGTCTACTGCATTTCCAAATTTATTCCTCTTGGAGCAAGGAGTTTTTCTAAGCTGAAACTGATCAGAATTTACTTGAGATCATCAATTCAGCAAGGATGTTTGAGTAGTTTGGCGATTATGTCCATTGAATCCAAAATTAGCAAGAGTTTAAACTTCGACAAAATTCTAAAAGATTTTGCAGAGAAAAAACAAGAAAAATAGCTTTTCCTAATAAAAGGCAATACTAATATGACTCATTTATTGTTTTTGAATGTTAATTGATTTTTAGAAGATCAAAAAAGTTAATTTGCTTCCAATAGTGTACTTAAATTCTGATTATTTTATGAATAATAATAAACTAATATTTTTAATAAATCATTTCACAATCACTAAGGCAAGTGGTTTTGTGACTCTGTACTTTTCAGAGGTGATATAAAAATTTTGTTTGTTACTTGTAGGCTTACATGTATGCAATTTTATATTAAAATGTAGCTTACATCTGTTTGGTCTATTAACTAGCATGCATTTTTAAGCCCACAGTTTGATTGCTTTCCATACATAGGGCCCATCAAAATTGTTCTCAATTGGGGGCCCACACCACCTAATGCTGGCTCTGCCTTTTACTGTCAAGACCCCTGCTCACAAACTTGCTCTGTGTCAAAAAATATTCAAAAAAAAAAAAGAAAAAAAAAAAAAATTTTCTTGCCAAAATCTTAAGAATAATTTTCTGAGTGTTATAAAAAAAAATTGTGATCAGTAGTTACCGAGATATAGAGGTGTGAAGTTGACAAAGTGAACCGCTGATGGCAACATCGGCGACTGCTGTTCACTCGGTAATATTATTTTTACTTTTATTCTATTTTTTCTTTCATTTTCTAATATTTATTTTTTCAAATAACTTGTGGCCTGTGAGACAAATATAATGCATATTGTATGTATATCCACTCATTGTATGCAACTCAATAACTGCACAAATATTATCATTATATTATTTACAAAACTTGTTTACACAAACCAACAATTACAAAAGTTGTTTGTTACTATTGTTCTATAATATGTATACACACATAGTCACTGGACATGTTCCTAGAACTGCTACAGTTTGTGGAACTCTTTGAAACATGGTGTTATGCACAGTGCTGTTTTACACTCCTCACACATAAAACAAGCGTCTCTGCATTTTTGTGGGTGGGTTGTGGTTGTTCAGGTTGTTGTGGTGTATGGGCGGTTGAAGGTGGCCTTTGTTGTGGATGTGCTGAGCCAGTGGCATGACTACCAGTCTGGGGTGCCACTGGTGCCACATGAAGCATTACACCACCACCTCCTGCTGCATGTATATTATCCATCCCAATTCTAACTCACGTGCAAGTTGCACTCAAATCCAACCTCTCTCATTCATGTATTTATCCAATCAAAATTTGAACCTACCCAAGGTTTTAGCCTCAATAACCCTACTAGGCAGACTTCCACTCACCAACTACCCAATTTCCAAACCAATACTTTCCTATATCTTTTCTAAATCTAAACTTGTCAGTTGGATGGTTAAAACCTCTCACATGAATAAATAGAGCATTGGAATCTTGTCCAGTTCTTATGCTATATTTATGTTGTTTTAATCTTAGTTCGAGACTTTTACTAGTTTGACCGTAGTAAAGATTACTGGGATTCATATCAAGAAGTGTAAGCAACAAATGTGTAAGCCCCTCCCACTCATATATTTGTCCAGTCTCTTTTTAAAGCTGCCCAAAGTCCTAGCCTTGATCACCCTATTGGGAAGATTGTTCCACGCATCCACAACTCTGTTAGAAAACCAGTACTTTCCTATGTTCTTTCTAAATCTAAATTTATCGAATTTAAATCCATTATTTCTGGTTCTTACCTGGTTTGACACCCTCAGTACTTTATTAATATCTCCTTTGTTTATGCCCATCATCCACTTAAACACTTCAGTGATATCTCCCCTTATTCTATGTCTCTCCAGAAAGTGGAGATTTAAGGCTTTAAGTCTGTCTTCGTATGGGAGATTCCTTACACAGTAAATCATTTTAGTCATTCTTCTCTGTATGTTCTCCAATGAGTCTATATCCATCCTATAGTAAGGGAACTAAAACTGAGCGGCATAATCTAAATGAGGCATCACTAGTGATGTATAGAGCTGTAAAATAACTTTCGGACTTCTGTTACTTATACTTCTTGCCTGCACTCAGAATCATAAGAACATAAGAAAGGAGAACACTGCAGCAGGCCTGTTGGCCCATACTAGGCAGGTCCTTCACAATCCATCCCACTAACAAAATATTTGCCCAATCCAATTTTCAGTGCTACCCAAGAAATAAGCTTTGATAATTCTATTTACTCTAGGTAGTAGGTTGGTAGACAACTACCGCCCAGGGAGGTACTACCGTCCTGCCAAGTGAGTGTAAAACGAAAGCCTGTAATTGTTTTACATGATGGTATTATTGCTGGTGTCTTTTTTCTGTCTCATAAACATGCAAGATTTCAGGTACGTCTTGCTACTTCTTCTTACACTTAGGTCACACTACACATACATGTACAAGCATGCATGCATATATATATATATTATAATATATATATATATATATATATATATATATATTATATATATATATATATATATATATATATTATATATATATATTTATATATATTTATATATATATTATATATATATATTATATATATATATATATTATATATATTTATATATATATATACAGGAGGGCCCCACTTATACGGCAGGTTAGGTTCCAGGCTACGCCGTTAAAGCGGAAATCGCCGTAAAGTGGAACACCCTTTTTTTCCACTTATAAATGCATACAAACACTAGATAACAAGTTTACATCTAACATATATTAAGTTAGCAATAGAACCAGGCATCAAAAAACAATAAAAAGGTACAATACACACATAGTGCACTCATTACTTACCTTAAAATATTTATAGTCTTAATCTAGGGTGAGACAAGTAGTATTTATTGTAAGAAATCAAGTGTGGTATGTATTGTAATAGCAGGCTACCTACAGGCCACCCCCCCAACATACTATTCTTAAATTTTTTAAGATCCCAGGGGATAAAATGTAATACAGTTCAATTACTTCCTTAAAATTTTTGTAGTTTTAAATTGAGGGTCAGGAGTAAGAAAATGAGAAAAAAGAATAATGAGAGAGAAAAAAAGAATGAGTACTGAGGAAACAGGCGCGGTATGTAAAAAAAACCAGGCTCCCACATCTTATATTTTGTTTATTTATTCTTTGTGGGGTGTATTTCTTTTTTATGTTATGTATCGTTTTTTTATTAAAATTTTTTTAAAAAAAAATTCTGGCTGGATTAATAAAAATGGTATATTACCGCAAATACGACTTTTAAATGAGTTCGGTGAGTATTGTTATTTTTCCCCACTTGTGAAGTCGTCTGCTACCACATCTACTTTTATGTTTATTTATTCTACTGTGGGGTGTATTTATTTTTTTATATGTTATGCATCGTGTTTTTTATTAATTTTGAAAAAAATATCAGGGATGGTTTAAAGGGAAAATGTGTTTTTTACCGTAATTTTACGACTTTTAATGAGACCTGCGGATTGTTATTATCCCTTTGCAAGTGTCTGTACCACATTCACTTTTATGTTTTTTTATTTAGTGGGGGTATTTATCTTATTTTATGTTATGCATCGTGTTTTTATAAAATTTTTGAAAAAAATACGGGGGTGGATTAATGAAAATGTGTTTATTACCGCAATATGCATTTAATGAGACCGGTGAGTAGTTATTATGGGGTCACTTGTGGAATCGTTGCTCACATTCCTTTTATGTTTATTTATTTTACTGGGGGGTTATTTTCTTATTTTATGTTATGCATGTGTTTTTTTTAAAAATTTTGAAAAAAATATCATGGATGGATTAATAAAAAATGTGTATATTACCGTAATATACGAATTTAATGAGACTCGGTGAGTATTGTTTTTATGGCGTCATTGTGGAAGTGTTTGCTCACATTCACATTTATGTTTATTTATTCTCTGTGGGGTGTATTTATCTTATTTTATGTTATGCATGGTGTTATATTAATTTTAAAAAAAAAATATCTGGGGGGATTAATGAAAATGTGTATATTACCGTAATATACGACTTTTTAATGAACTCGGTGAGTATTTTATTTGGCGTACTTGGGGAAGTCGTCTGCCCCAACTCACTTTTATGTTTATTTATTCACTTGGGGGTATTTATCTTGTTTATGTTTTGCATCGTGTTTATTTAAAATTTTAAAAAAAATTCATGGATGGAATTAATGAAAATGTGTATATTAACGAAATATACGACTTTAAAAATGATCGATGTAGTAGTTTATTTTGGGACGGTATACAAAAGTAAAATTATCAGAGTATATATAAAATATAAAAATAACTTTTAAAAACATTTGAAATTTTTGGGGTTCCAGACAAAATGGAGAGACTTGTGCTTACTGGCATGGAGAATGTAAAAAAAACGGGTGGGGCACGGTGACCCTTTAGAAAGTCCGGTGGGGGGAGCCCTATAGTGAGTTTTTGGTCATAATTTGAAAAGTCCG